GCGATAAGTGAAAATGTTCCTGGACTAATTTTACCATAGCATAGGCTTATTTTCTATTTTTGTAATAAAAAAAGTCAAAAACTTAATTCCGGCCAAAAATTACGTAACAATTGTATAATGCGGGCCAAAGTTTTGTAGACCACGGCAGTTAGCTAATTAAAATTGAGTGCAAAATGTACCCAATAATTTTATTTTATTTAATTCTATAAACTACAGAATTAAAATAAAAAAAACCATCGAATTTGAATCAATGGTTCTTGAGAAATCTTTGTTTAAAGTTTAAAAAAAAAGAAAATTTACCGATTTTTTGTAAAATTCGAATGATTTCTCAACAACCATCTATCAATTTTGATAAATTTTTTTTTATTTTAATTCTACAAAAGTTTAGAATTAAAATAAATAAAATTTACTGAAGTTACAGAGAAATCTTTAAAATTTCGTATGAACCGATCTACATTTTCAAAACAATCTAATACTGGTCAAATTTGCAGGTCGTTTGTCCTATTAAGATGAGTTTTAAATAGGCCAAAGATCTACAAATTTGACCAGAATTAGATGGTTTTGAAATGTAGATCGGATCTTCAATATTTCGATTATTTTGATTGGCTGTTTAAGCATGTGACCCGAACTTTTTTTTCGCTATGGCTAGGGTACGCTACCTAAAATAATCATTTGAGCATTTGTTTATATGTTTGATTGAAAAATTGATTAAGGAATTGATCAAGTAATTTATCGGCTATAGCCGGCTACTAGTAGATAGTCGATGATAGTTGACCGATAGCTGACGAACGCATCCCTACTCCAACATGTCAGCCAAGACTTGAGCAAATATATAATTCAACGTTTGTCTTCCTTTTATCTCTCTCTCCTCTTTATTCTCTGAAAGTAGCACTTCTTCCGATTATATGTCTTTGTATGATACGATTTGTTCTTTACCAAAATGCAATGATACTTTTATATTTTCAACTCTTTCAAGTTTCAAAATAGACTGTGAATCTGATCTTGCTACAAATGATTCTGCTATTTTTAGCGTTGAGCTTTATTTGCTTTTTATTCACTTTATATTCACCATATAAGTTCTTATTGTTTTAAAAATTCTACTGGAAGATCATGCATTCTTAAAATTAGAGAAGATATTGCGAAACATGCCGGTGCATCTCGTGCTAATTTTAGTGTTCTACCTGATATTTCAAATGTCCCTTCTTCAATTGTATGCACTAGTTGTGTAAAAGCTGTAGTGAATACTTTTTTAAACTATCTGTCTTCAAACCCCGGAGATTTTGCGATTTTAGGCACAACTCAAGAGGAGATTAACAAAAAACTCAATATACTGCAAAATGTGGTTCTTCATTTTAGGTATACTGTATTAATTTCCAATTATCCTTTCATTTATTGATTTTTAAAAATAGTTCATTTTCACTTTATTTCTTTTTTTTTCTAAACGGTAAAATTCCCAACACCACATTTTCAACATCGTCAATATCAGATCCAAGCTCTAGCTTTAATGTGTTTGATAATTCAATTTATAAAGGATTAATTATTGGTGGTATTGTTGTATTAGTAGTCTCATTTACTACTGGATACTATATCCATAAAAACGATTATATTCCTACAGCAGGAACAAATTCTGAAACTAACGAAGCATCAAAGAAATTTAAACCCTAACACCTATTTATAAATATTATATTAAATGTTTATAATAATTTATTTCGAGTATTTCCATTTCCGTTCAAAAATTAGAATTTTATAATTTATAAAAGTCCACTAACTATAATTAAATTAAAGAATATGCGGCTTTGTTTTTTAAGAAAAAAAATTAACGATATTTATTTTGTCAGAATTAGGTTAGTTCTAGGATTAATACATTAAATTCTTTCAGTGTTTAGTGGAATTAAATTATTTAACAGTATTCTTAATCTGTATTAAGAAAACCATTTTATTGTATATACATAATGACGAATTTGAAATCATTTAAAATTATAAATTATACATCTACATCAAACATCACATTTTAATTCCAATTTACATTACCATTAGAGATGCCCGCTGCAAAGTCGCAACTTTACGTCTCTTTGGATTAATTGCAACCCAAACGTAGTCGACTGAACCCATCCATAATTTTGACCAATAATAATCGAGACGCGTGATTAAAATCTTTCGTAAAGTTTGATGAGTATAGATGACGTGACCATAATATCATATTCTTGTCCAATTTACATTGTACGTACTGTACATATTTGTACTATCGTACTGTACTATTTTATTGCTACAACTAGTATTTGAACTGGTTTACGAATATCCTAGATAATCTCATTACATAAATATCATTTATTATTCAACAGCTTAAATATTCATTACGATAATTTTTTTGGAAATATCTCAATCACATGTAATTCTAGAATTCTAGATCAAAATTCCACAAACTTGGCGTAGAAAATGTTGTATATGAGTTTTAATGCGAACATCGAGTTGAATTGTGTCAGACTCGTAGATGCAGATATGATGCCATAACTAGTTTAATTATAATAAGTTTGACCGGAATTAATTGTAATTATAATTTACAACATATCACAAATTTAAAAACTATGATTTATATCGATAAGATTTTGACTTATTAACATAATGTTATAAATAATGCTTTATAGAACACCAATGTCTAACCAAGAATAAATTGATTTGTCTGTCAGAACTTATTATTATTATTATTATTATTTATTACACTATTTAACGGCATCTTAAATTTACACATAATAACGGCAGAAATTTCCGATAAAGTTACAAATAAGGGATATCCATTCAAATGAAGAGAAAAGCACACATCATTTCACTCATTATCAAACAATACGAGAAATAAAATCGGTTGCTAGCTCTATCATGTAAAAAAATACATACGGCCAATCGTGTAATTGGCATTCATAAATAACGATTATTCCTATGAAATCAGCAGGAATGATCAGTTTAAAATAGAAAAACCCATACGATATAATACATAAATCGATAATGCAGGTAGAATCAAGAATAAACCAGGTAAAAACAACGTATATCAAAAAAAATTAGTAATTTTTTTTTATGTCCAAACAAGGAATATTACATAATGATAATGTATATTATAGAATGTTTCTTTGATCACACATTCATTTTTTTTTTTTATTGCATCATTGAACAGTATGCTAACGTGTCGATATGCCGATGCGCAAAAAATCGTATAAATATAGAAATTCAAGGCGAAGCCATGAGAATAAACCATCATAAAATTGCGAAAGAGATATGTTGCATTCTGTTATTGGTATATGTTAGATCGGTTCCTAACCATTATAACGTCAAGCCTCATCTTGTGTGAACATCGAAATCAGGTTAACAAAAATGGAAAGTCAGTGCGAATTTTAAAATAAAACTTCATATCGATATATACCGAGTATATAATACGTATACTCGATAATATTGGTAGAACCAAGGATAAAACAGGTAAAAATTAGATATAAATTGCATACATCTGAAAAATAGTAGGTAAGTTTTTATTACGCAACATTCAAGTAAAAAAATCCTACGTGACATAATATATAATTGATACGCAATTCCAACGGGAATCGTGATTAAAACAAGTAAAAAACGAGTTATAAATAGTAAAGTCGATGGCATACAAAGAAATACTATATAGCGTAAAGGCAACATTATAGATGGTGTTTTTAGATACTGTAACGATTTTAAAAATTAATATCAATTCAGTAATTGCACCGCTAAACGATATTTCACGTGCATACACACACAAAGTCACAAGGAATGATAATCTAATCAGTTGCCAATAATTCTGTAATTGCCCACGATAACGTTAACTATAATCTCCGTACTTAGTATGGTATGTGAGTACACTTCTTTAGTAAGTACCTTCTTTATATTGAGCAACATTTAAATTTGTAATTAATTTAGCTAATTTAACAAATGAATAATTACATTCAAAAGTCGTGTGTCATTAACTTATAAATTAACGAATTGATGCTTATTATTAACATGACTCTTTTTGAAGTTTAAGATTTAAAACTTCAATTGAAATTATTCTTATTCATACTCATTTTACATGTATGATTTTTTCGGAATATATAGTTTTACTTTAAAAATTAGATTTATTTTATGGGTGGTTCTCATCAAATTCCAGACGGAGACCCAATAAGAGGATAATTTATTAAAAAAAGTTTGTTTTTTTTTATTGAATCGTACATCACAATTCTCTACAGTTAATCCACCATATGTTGAGCTTCCTGGTTTACAATGAATATGGAATTGGAAAAGGTTGGCTATTAAATTTACATGCTTCGTAAGTTTAAGAATGATTTATACATACTTTATCATATACGTATTCATTAGGACTGCAGTGGTTGGTGGTCCTAACAGTGAAGATGTGTATCTCGTTGGATGCACATTACAAATAGTTCGAATTAACGTTAATGATAAACGGATTAATTAATACTTGGAATGTGACGGATCAAAAAATTTTTATTTACCGGTCATTTACACAATCTTGGCTCATTTCTAATTCAAAAGGAGGACCAACGATTAGGTGCCCAGGCAAATACTGGCTTGGTCATTTACGTTTATTAACTTTAATGATTTATATGTTTATGACACTACCATGTCAGAATGGAATAAGACTATTGTTGCAATGCTCCTTCCCTAGAAGTCATAGCACACGACATTTCTTCCAAATGGTAAGATTCTTTATATTGGAAGTTTATCAACTTTCTCCTGTAGAAAATGCGTTACGAATTGGCATGAATTATTTTATCAAATTTCCAGAAGATGCATATACCTAAGTATGCTTATTTTCTTTCACTATTTAAGAGTCTTCCTTTTCTCATAAAAATTTTAATTATAGAACTTGATAATCGATTCAAATTCTTTGACCTGGCCATACACGGTCAGTATCTGTTTTATTTTCATAGTGATTGCCATTATATTTTCTTAGTATATAAAACATTATATCATATTTCGAGATAGCAAAATCATCGGCTCCTACTCAAGCCCAAGTAGGCCATACAGCAACCTTAATATTAGATAATAATACAATTATTATAATAGGCAGAATCTCAAGTAAATTATTAACAAATTTATTTATAAACTATATATATATATATATATATATATATATAGGACAATACTGAACGATCAATCTTACTACAGCATATCCAATTTTTGCGTCGCTGAATATTACACCAGAATCTTAGAATATTCTGAGCTAAGTTATTCTGGAATATAACCACCACCATTAGCATACCATAAAGTAAATTTATATCAATGTTGCTTTCGGTGATTATCTTATCTGTTATTTTGCGTATTATTAATTATCTGTTATCCATAAATAATATTAAATTTTATCTTTTTTTTGAACAATAAAGGTACATACTAATAATAAAACTGGCTCAATTGAAACTAATCCGTATATTTATTTATTAGATCTGCCATGCAAATATTGGGTCATAATTTTAAACCTGGCGAATCTCGTCCAAAACCACCGGCTAATGCAAATAATATTTTTGATAATCTAATTTACAAAGAATTTATCATTAGTGGCATTACTCTTGTTGATGTGTTAGTAGTTTCATTTATTATCGGATGCTGTGCTGTTTGAAAATACGATTATATTGTTACGCCAGGAACAAGTTCTGAAAACTAAAGAAACAGCAGCAAAAATTTAAATTCAAAACTATCCTAACCCCTATTTATGAATTTAACCGGGTTTTTTTTTTTTAGTTTAAGCGTCTTATAAATATTTATTTCGAGTTTTTCAATTTCCATATAAAGTTCGAAATTTCATAATTTCGCAAAAAGTACATTAACCATAATTAAATTGAAGTATGTATTTTTTAAAAAAATTAACAATAGCGATAGATAATTATTTATTTAAGATTCGATGATTATTTTGTTGGAATTAAGATTAATACATTATATTCCTTCAGAGTTTAGTGGAATTAAATTTATTTAATAGTATTCTTAATCTGTATTTATTTTTTCTTTATTAAGAAAATTATTTTTATTATACATAATGACGGATTTGAAATCAGTTATAAATTAAACGTCTGCTTCTAAACATCAATTATTATTCTAATTCCAATTTATACTACCATCTATATCACAATTTTAGGTAGCGCACACACAAAAATTTTCCTACCCCGTAATTTATAAAACCGCGTTTTAATTAGGGTTAGGGCGAGAACAGTGTAGGCTTAGGGTTAGAGTTAGGGTTGTTGCTATTAGTAAAATTTCACAAGGAACAATTTTAATTAGGCCGCATAAGGTGGTTTCTTAATTAAAATTTCAAGTTATTTCAGTTTATTTGTAAAAAATGGTTTCGCTTCGTTTGTTTACGTTACACCTGATCTTGAAATTTGATTGGC